AGTCTGGTATCAGCAATGGGGTGCCTTTGTCTGACCTCCTGGCTCTGATATACATGGAACCTGCACTTGAGAAGAGGAGAAGTTTCAATTAAGGCAAAAGAAACATCAGAGAAGAGGTTAAGGAGAGAGTGGTGCTTGGTGAATCCAGCTGGTTCCAGCAGGGTGCACAGCAAAAAGATGGAGAGGGCAGAGAAGGGGATGATTGCATCAGATTAAGGGAAGTGAAGAACAGAGGTGTGCAGGGTACTTATTCACAGGGGGATATTCTACATCAAAATTTACATTAAAATACTTAGCATCAAAAGTGTGGTATATATGTTTATGTATATGTATATTTGTCTTTAAAATCTAAACAGTTGACATTTAAGGTGCCCTAATCAGGAGCCCACTCTTGGGGTGTTTAAATTAGCATTTAAAACCCCCCAAGTAGGAACTGATGTTCCAGAGGGAGTTTCTGCAAACTATTCAAATATCCTTATAGAGTCTGTTAATTAATATAAAAAATGTCATGCTTCACTGCTGAAATAAGAGGTGTTCAAGACATGTGGATCAGCTGGCTTGAAAACTGCGCTAGCACTTCCTCCCCTTCATGAACAGAGTTTAAAGGTCAGTGCTCATCTGGTGTGACCAGATGGCTTTCTGAACCTCGATTTTTTTCTTCCGTAAAATAATAAGACTATCTATCTCCCAGTAGATGTTGAGAAAAATGATGTAGTAGCCCAAGCTCCAGGCTTGGCACTTAATTATTGTACATGTGTATTTGTTCCTTTTCCTTTGCATCTACTTTACCATAGTTTTGGAGCTCCCAATCTTATGTCACTTACCATGTTCTCTTTTGTGTCCTCATCTCAACTCTCTTGCTAGATACAAGTCTTCAAGCTTAACTAATGCTGGCCTCCTGCAAATCCCAGGGCAGTCCATCACATCTTAGTGTGCCTAATCACCTGGTGGTTCTTTAAAATGTAGATTCCAGTGATCTTCAGCCTGAAAAGATTTCCATCCCTTATGTCTGTCTTGGTGTAGCCCAGGAATCTGCAGTTTCATCAAGTACTCCCAGCTATAAAAAATGAGGTGGTCAAGGGCCACACTTAGAGAAAACTTTGATCTGAGAAAAGCTTGCTGCAGAAGCCCTAGATCTGCATTTTCTTCAAATTCAGACCTGAACAAAGACAGCGAACCTACTTTCCCAGTCTCCCATTGGAGCCTCAGGCTGAGCTGACCCAGAAACCTGAAGCAAGCTTATCACCCATGCTACCTGTTACTGATCTTCTTGATGATATAGAAAGATCATGTTTGCCTATCCAGCATGCTGTTACTGATCTTCTTGATGATATAGAAAGATCATTTTTGCCTATCCAGCAAAAATATATTTCCCCTTTCTCTGTTAACCCTCTGGATTGTCTTCATTCCTAGAAAAAACAGTTTCAGCAAGGCCCATGGCCCCCTTCTTCCCACCCCCAATATAAATCAGTGAAGGTTAGCCTCTAAGACATGGACTAGAACAAGAGAAAGGAATGCTTTTCCTTCAGGGATACTAAACTGTTAGAACAAAAGCCTGGAGCTGCCTGGGCTACTCTTACAGGAGGCGGGGAGCCTGCTGAGAATGAAACGAAAGAGATGGTGCCCCAATTACTGACATCTTTCAGCCCCTGGAGTTCCTAGTAATATGAATTACTAATTCTCTTTTTGGTTTAAGTCAGTTTGAGATGGAATTTCTGCTGACAACCGAGAATTCTGACTAATACACAGACCCTCCCCCACCAAATAAATGCATTTACAACACCCTCTCTCTCCTCTCTACAGAAAAGAATCCTTCCTCACTGGACTGTCCCAAACAAGTCCCCTGGCACCTCACCTCCTGCCATAACTGAAATCCTAAGGACTCAAGTTTCCCATGTCCTGTAGGCAGGGGACCTTCCTCTTTAGGTAGGGCCAGTTCTAGCCCACTTTTCTTTTACCCTTTGAGGGGAAAAAGTCCTTTTTCTTTCAGACTCAGGTTAGCAAGCTCGCCGTTCATTACTAATTTCTTGATTATTCACTTAGGATTTTGACACCTGTTTTACCGTCTCCCCTTCCACTCCTGCCATTAT